ATTTTTTCTGAGTATTTAATAAAGATGCCACTAGCCAATAGCTAGGCAGAAGAGACATTGATGGGGTTTAGGTTTCCCAGGCTTGGAGTTGGAGTAGAACCACGAGGAGGAGGAGAAGGTTAAGGAGGAAAGAGAAGCCACTATGGGTTAGGTGAACCATAAAAGTGTGGCCCTGAGGGCTGGCCAATTGGCGTTAAGAGCAGCCCAGATGAAACATAGTGAGTAATAACTCAGGGTTATGGATAGGAAAGTAGACTCTAATAGCACAGAGGGTCGATATGTGCGCAGCTCTTGTGCTGTTTAAGGCTTATTGTAAATATAAAGGCTGTATGTGTCTTTTATCTGGGAATTGAATGATCAAGGCAGGGTAGAAACCCTTGTTGGAATTAAAATTTTCTACAACAAATCAGGATTTCCTTCAAAATGGCATAGTGGGTTTAAATTCTCTATGAAGCTAGCCTCTGTTCTTTTCCTACATTTGCCTTCAAATAGAGACATCATATGACTTACAGGGGACAATATTTCTTCAAGAGTAAAGCTAATCCTCCATAGTTTTATGTGCACAAAAAGCAAGTCCTGGAAAAGGTAGACAACATAGCATTTATTTTAACTCCAGAGAAAATGTTCAGGTTTAGATGTTGTAAGACCACAGGCAAGAGACTCAACAATTACCATACTTACTAAATCACTGAAACCAGCATACTCCTGTACAGTCAGACTCTCCTGAATCTGATCTCATAGGCTTTAAGCATATATTATATTTCACCTCTATGTCCTACACTTGCTCCCTTTGGTTGTGGAGAACAAACAAACTCCCAATAAATGGTAGCAACACTCAATGCCAAGTGTAAAGAGAATCTGTATCTGCAGTCCTTGCCTGCTTGGTAAGCCTGTAACCTACACAGCAGAGGGCCCTAGCTTTGCTGTTGCATCTTACAACTATGAGTTGTTTCTGAATAGATCCATCTCACACTCCCATTTTTCTTTGGTTCCCACAAATCATATAGCCCAGCCTACAGCTAAAAGGTATGGCTGATATAAACTGGCAAATAATGCCTCCTCTCAAATCCCAGGCAGTAGAATATAGCTGATTATAGTTCTATTCTGGGTGAAGTCTCTTGTGTGTTGACTCACTTGTCTCTTGGCTATTGAGAAGTGGTTCTCTCTGATTGGTAGCCAGGATAGCACATGAATGACGTAGAGAAGGGCTGAAGAAGGCAGTCATTGTTCTCAGTAGGACCATTTCCTAGCCTCTGCTTTGTGTCTACCCCTCACTTGTTATTGGAAACACACACATCAAACTACCCCCCACCCTGACTCAGGAAGCTCTGAGCTGGATGGCAAGTAGGATACAAATCTTCCTGAAACCAAACTCAAATGAGGCACAAACATGTGGACCAGAACATCAGGGACAAGGTTCAGAAAGTGATCTCTGGTGGCTAGACTATCAAGAAAGCCTCTGAATAAACATAAGACTGAACAGAGTCTTCAGTGATGTCTAGAACTTTGGAGGAAGGGAGCCCTCAGCTCTGGATGAGGATCCATCTTATACTTTCCCATGCCAGGTTTTGCTTTGGATGTACTGGGGCTAAAACTAGGGTCCCAGCTTGCTAGGCAAGTGCCCTACCAGTGCAGGACACCCTTAGCTTAAATATTACTTTCCATTTGCTCACAGTAGACTGTTGGTGAATGTTGCCGGTGGGGCTCTCTGGATGATGATATTCAGAAGACTTTAGTGTGTGTATTGGATTCCTGCAAGTGCTAAAGCAAATTACTAAGAAGAAGGTGGTGCAGCCCAATAGAATTGTATTCTCTCACAATTCTTAGGGTTTACTGGGTTAAAACTAGAGTATCATGAGAGCCATAGTTTTTCTGGAGAATCTGGCAGGATTCCTTCCTTGCTACTTCCTGGTGACTGCTGGAGTTCCTTAGCTTATAGTTGCACTGGTTCTTCTCTCCCAAAAGTCCCTCTGCCTCCAGCTTACAAGGACACATGAGCTTCCATTTAAGACCAACCTAGACAATCCTGGAAAGTCCCACGATTCTTAACCACATCTTTTCCTATATAGGCAATTGTCACAGCTTTGGGGGATTAAGATGTGAACATGATTTTGTGGAACCACCATTTTGGCAACTCACTGGTGCTCATTTAGTCAATACCTGTGAAAAGAATTCCTAGGAAAAGGAGGGGCAGGGTCAGTTAGACTATGACACAGGCCCATCAGGGTCTTGGTCTGATGGAGGTAGAGTTTTGGAACAAAAATTACCCGTTCAAGTTGTAGCTAAGTGAGCCAAAATGGTTGAGTCAACACATTTCATCACAAGCCCAGTACACTAAGTATTGATATGCCTTAGGATGGGCGTGGCCTCAAATGAAGCCACAGAGTTACCAAGGCAGAGCCCAAAGTGATGACAGTTAGTGCTGCCTACCACCCACACTCATGCACTTGAGAAAGAGGTGTCCCTTGTGGTGGAAGGCCTGGAAGTTCTGTTCTGTGTCTATCACAGGTAGGGACAGGAAGAGAATCAACAAATGGCAGGGAGTGATTAGGGAGGATGTGGCTTGGAGATTGCACTTAGGAGGGGTCTGTGATCTTTGGTCATGATGGCAAGAAAATGTCTGCTTTGCCTTCAAAATGTATGAGAAAAGGGACTTCTTTTTTTTTAATTGGATATTTTATTTACATTTCAGATGTTATCCTCTTATCGCATCCCCCCCCCCAGGGTGAGGCCCCCCGGTCTGTGGCGCTCCTCCTGCTTGTCTGGGGATATGGCCCCACCCACCCCCCCCCCACTCCCACCTCCCCACCTTCGAATTCCCCCCAACATGGTGTCCAGCCTTCATAGGACCAAGGATCTCCTCTCCCACTTATGCCTGACAGGACCATCCTCCCCTACATATACAGCTGGAGCCATGACTCCCTCCCTATATGCTCCCAGGCTGGTGGTTTAGACCCTGGGGGCTCTGGTTGGTTGGTATTGTTGCTCTCCTCATGGGGCCTTTCAGCTCCTTCAGTCTTCACTCTAACTCCTCCATTGGGAACCCCTTGATCAGGTCAATGGTTAGTTGTGAGCATCTGCCTCTGAATGTGTCAGACTCTGGCAGACCTCTAAGGAGACAGCTATATCAGGCTCGAAAAAAAGACTTCTTAACCTCTTGATCTTGCAAAAAACCACTAGATAGGGAACCATTTCCCCATCCAAAGTGTTAGGCCCTGCCTCAACGGTTATCTTTCTTTGGCCTGAACTGCAAATATACACACAGCTGTACAAATCCATAGTGTTTGCTGTAGTTCATATTATAAACAAATCTTCCACTCACCTCCTGGGGGTAGGTAGTTTTGTTCTTTGCTCACTTCTGGGACTCCATCAAAGAGGACATAAGATTTCTTTTTTTCTGATTCAGTAGGTGTCTAGAGCTGTGTTTCCTTCCTAGATTTAGCAGCTCCATGATTTTGAAAGGTCATTTTTCAGAGTCCCAGACCACTGATCTAGAGGACCCATTCTCTCCTTCTTGTTTTCCCCATATATATGTGGTAGAGAGGTAAGAAGAGGGTTATTGTAAGTCCCATTTCTCAACTCTGTGCAGCCTAGATCAAAGTCACTCACAGTCTTCAGTGGAAAAGCAATGGTTCTATTGAAAGAGGATGATCCTGACATGAGCACTGGAGAATCCTGGGGGTGGTCTTATGTCCACATGCATTTAGAGAGTCTGAGGCTGTAGCCCCTTCCTGGGGTTCTCTAGTCAGAAGGCTGTCTGGAACCACATACTTCGAGCAAGAGGAAATCATGAAAACGCAGGTAGGAGATGTGGTTAGACTTCATTCTCCACAGCCAGTCATAGGACACCAGTTTTAAAGCTTCTCAGGCATGGCACCAGCTTGGTCTGTTATCCTCCCTGCTGTGGTTGCCATGGGACAATGTCTGGAGCAGTTGTCAAAAGGCAACATCAAAAGGCCACCTTGTATACCACAAGATAGGACCCTTGAAATTCATATCTTTACATATGAATGAAAATAGAACTGAATAGTCCATGATGAGAATCTGAGACTGATGAGGAAGGGAATTGGGCAATAGACTGGTAGGGAGGGTTTCAGCAGTATCCCAGTAAATCACAGCCTCCCTGGGCCTCTGTTTCCCTGTGTATGCAATGAGGCTTGTTAAGTCAGATATTCTGACTGCCAAGGTGCTGATTTAGAGGTAGAAGAAAGGAGGTAGACCAAACAATCCCAAGTAAAGGCCTCATAGGGAGGCTAGATAAAGGTCTAAGAGATCTTTGTGATTGTTATGGAGGGCAGACAGTATCATGCACAGAGGCCCATAAGCCATGTAGTTAAATACTTCAAAAATACGGCAAAAATAGTTGTTGAGTAAAATGTATTCCACTGTTTGACCTTGAAAACAAATGTTATTTTTATAATGACTTGTAAGGCCACATTTGGATGAGAGTTCTAGGACTCCTCGAGTGGTGAAGAGAGAGCAGGCCCTGGTCCCAGGCTGCAGTTACAGTAAGCAATGGAACCTGTTCAATGCCCACAGGGTGCTTTGCTCTGAAACCTGTTTTTGCAACTAAGCTGCAGTCACACTTGCCACAGCCTATTCAGGCTAACCTTGAATACAGTTGGATAATAAAATGGATCTATTCATGGGGGATATAGGGCTCCTTTGGTGTATGACTCAGTCTTGGCTTTGTAGGTGCCCAGACAGTCTTTCCTGAATTGCCTACCTTTTGCTGATGGTCAGATTGTAGCATGAGTTGGCCTTTCAGTCTTTGCCTGTTTCCCTCTGTCTGCCTTCCCTGTATACATATCCTCTAAGAAAACTCAGGTAATTGGGTTTTGACCCTTGCTTTTAGAGGACCTAAGTAAGTATAATGGCCCATTTGTCCTCCTTCTCTTCTTACCCTTGGCTTTTTTCCACATCCTGAGGTGACTTCTGCACATGCATAAGGAATACCAGGTGCCCAGAGAGTTCAGGAGCTGGTGGCGGGTGAGGACATCCTTTTGGTTTCTCCTCACAGATGCAGGAGAATAGGAATGGGGGACTTGAGTTCCAACGGCCCAAAGCCCTGCCTTCCTCTTGCCTTCTACCTGTGCCAGCCTCCCAACACATGGGACTTTCTCACTTGCCCTATCTGTGTGTGCTTCTGGAACATGATTTGTGGGTCACAACTGTATTTCTGGGCCCCTTACACCACTTTTTTCTTTAACCTTACGAAAGTCTGGCAAAATATATAGAAAATGGAGGTTCAAAGATATTGAGGGTTTACACCTGGTCTTTCTGTGCCCACCTCCTGACTCTGCTATGGTGTCCTAGCCAGTGATGTTAATCATGCAGTGTCAGAGTTTCTCCCTCTAGTTCTGTGTGTTTCTTAGGAAATCAATGTACTTAAATATTCAAAATGCAATTGCTTCTTACAATTTGGCAGTAACTCATCAGGGGATATGGAAGTGCTTGTAGATCATTCCTTCAGCCAGTCAGAATCTATCATTATACTTGCAGTCTGGGTAGCGGTAGGCAAATCTAGGATCACAGGTTCTCAGAGATCTCAAGATGTCCTTCAGCCGACCGGTGGCCCCCAAAACTTCTAGGTCTGTGCTGGCATCCTTGCTACACAGGCTGAGGGTGGAGTCTATCTCCTTTTGTACAGGGGAGGGAAACTTTCCCTGGAGAAGTTGAGGCAGCAGCTGTTGACACACCAGCACAAGGCTTTGCTTCTCAGGGACAGTGTCACAGGAGGACAGCTGGACCTGGCAGCCAGAAACCAGGCAGCTAAAAATGTCTTCGTTCTCTCCAGTCCTGGCAGCTGCTTGGCTGCCTAGAAGAGAAATGGAAACTATCAGACCACCCTTTCTTCTAATTTGATTCTTCTTAATAAAAGTAAATCAGGAAGAGAGAAAAAGGATTTGTTTTCTCTATCTTTGCACTTTGTAAAAAAAAGTGTCATAAATAGGAAAGTTTCTTGTTCTATTATTGTGCTCAGCAAATTTGGTCACCTTGAGAAACGGAGGCTGACTGGGCTCTAGAACACTGGCTGAGCTTTTGTGAACACTGAGAAACAGCTTGCTCACACAGCTCCTTCAGTTCTTTGTTTCTGTTATTTTCAAACTTTATAGAGTCATTATCAACACTGATTGCAAAGTGTATCAGGCTGATAATTATGTCTTAGATCAAGGCTAAAGACATCTAAGGAGGAAAGCTCCATCGGGAGAGGGACCTGTGACTTGTGTATGACTGAGGTACAGAACTGTTCTTTGAGGGCTCATCGTGGTTCAAACCTCAATGGACAATATTTGTTACAGGCATGGCCAAGCTCACTTTCCATTTGGAAATGAAGATGAAACAGAAATTCAAATGGGGGAGAGGGGACATTGTTTTATGACTGATAACATCCTCCAAACTTGAATTATTCAGTGACACACAGAGTGCAAAGGCCCAAAAGTATGACCCCAGGTCACCCCTCTTTAGCTTTGGTCACCCTGACATCCCCCTTGACAGCTTCTCAGCCAATCCCATGCTGAGTACCTTCCTGCTTGTCGATGATGCCTAGCGCACTGGCATCCCGGATGAACAGATGCCCGTTGTCAAAGACGCCAAACATGCCTGCATCAACATGGGTGAAGTAGAAGAAATAGTTCAAATCGTTGCTCCTCAGGGACTCCAAGACCCCAAGGAGTTGGTAGGCAAGGTCAGCAGCTTGCTCTGGAGGGGCGTCATAAAATTCTTGCAGCGGTCTGGTGCTGGTACTGACCAGGAATCTACCACAGGAGCCCAGGTACTTGGGCATCGGCCATCCCTCTGCTCCAGGGAAGATCTGCCAAGCCAGAGGGAGCAGGCATTAGACACAGAGAAATTTCACACAGGAAGCTTGCTTTCTACCTTTTGCCCACAGCCCACAGAAATAAGTCTTACTGGCAGCCTGGATCTCAAAACATGCTGGCAAAACATTTCTTTGTCTTTTTATACCTTTTGCCACGTGGTAAGGCTCCTGTCCTTCCCCCACTTTTGTAGTCCCTTACTAATGGAAGGAAAAATTCAGGAAGGAAGAGGCTGCTCTCATCTGTGCTGTGGATCAGATTTCACAACTTTCTCCAAGTGGGACCTGATAATGCTAACCAACCATCAGTGATTTTCATTGGTACCTAAGATTCAGGGAGTATGTTTCTTTTAAGTTGTGTCATTTAAAAAGCATGACTAGTCTGCAATTTTTAAGATATCATTGCTTAGAAGCTATGGGAAAAATAATAAAAGATCATCTTCAGGGTGGCTTCAAGACAAATAATAATAATAATGATGATGATGATAATAATCTATTACAAACAGGGTATCATGTATGTGTATAGTTCCAGCTTTTCAGGAGGCTGAGGCAGGAGGGTTGAGGCCAGCTTGCTCAACAGAGCTCATGAATAAATAGAAGAATGCAAGTACCTGGGATAGGACAAAAATCACGCAGGTGGCTCTTCCTTGGCTGTCCCCACTGCTAGGCTGAGCAAATCTGCCTGGCTCCAGTAACTACATACGCAAAGATTCTTCTCAATTGGAGGGAAGTTTCCAGATATACAAATACTGATTTGGGGGAGTGTGGTTCAGCCTGTCTCCTTGTAAGAGTTCTCAAGTTGTGGATTTGGGAGATGGAAAGTAGGGAGGGAATCCTAGATGGATTTTTCTTGACCATTTTTCTTTTTTTGACCATTTTTCAAAATAGTTTTTTTTAGCACTTCATACATGAGCACATCTCAATCACTTCCAGCCCTCCCTTCTTCCTCTAATTCTTCCTGTATCCCCCTTCTTTCTCCAAAGTTCACAATCTAGTCTGCATTATCGATACACACAGATACATATATGCATGTATATACACGTGTATATACAACCTACTGTGTCCATGTAGTGTTATTCATATGTATATGTGACCAGAGCTGAGAATTTGGAATTGGGCAATCTCTGTAAGAGTTTGTCCTGGAAGAGACTGATTTTCCTACTGGCCACCTGTAGCTCTTCATCTCAGGGTAGGACCGTGTAGAAATAGTTCATGTCCATGTTAGAATGTCAACTGTTGATCATTTTTTATGAAGCTGCAACAAACTGATGACAAAAACTATAAATACCACTATCCTTTGATTGCCTTCTTAAGAAAACAAAGTAAGTGTATGTCATACATCTTAGTAGCAGACTGCTTATCTGGCACACACAAGACCCCGGATCCCATCCCCAGTACTAAGGAAAAGAAAATAAAAAATAGACTTCAAGGATTCCCCCCAGCCCCCCGACAATCTTCTGGTAACTTTACCCCTTTTAAGTCATGTTTTAAAGAAGTCATGCTCTTTGTTCTTTGAGCTTCACCTCACTGGGGCATCTTACATACTTTGAGTCTCACAGGGACATCGTACACCTATTGATCTTGTCTAAATGTGTAAAGCCACTCCTGGGTCCAATCTCACACTCTCTCAGGGTAAATTCCAGGGTTGAGTGGAGTATCTCAGTCCCATGGTCCCAGGCCAGGTTTCTCAGGAGCCAGGCCTTAAGTAACTAAGGTGCCAACAAAAGTTAGAATTGTGAGGAAAAAACCTCCAAGAAGACCCCTGAGCCTGCAGGGTAAGTGGCAGCTCCTTCTCTGCTATTAGCACATTTAATGCCAAAGATACTGGGCAGGTTTTAGGGGAAAGAGTACAGCTTCTGTTGTGTCTAATGTCAGACAGGATTAGGTTTCATGGTTGAAACTTTCTCTTTCTGAGTCTCGACGGGGATAATGATGACATTCTGGGAGGAGTGTAGTGAGCACTGACAGTGAGAGCAAATCTTTAGCACAACACCTGGTATGTAGCAAGAAGCCAATAAGCAACACTAGCTCTTTGGCTAATTTTTAGGAACCGTCTTTGTTATGACTCTTTTCTTCTCTACGTGTATCTTTATATTTAGTATTTTAAAAGATGGTCTCATAAAGCCTGTTCCCCCATGCCCTGGTTTCCTTCCTTTTTTTTCTCCTCCCTCCCTCCCTCCCTCCCTCCCTCCCTCCCTCCCTCCCTCCCTGCCTCTGTCCCCCCTTCCTTTCTTCCCTCCCTCCCTCCCTCCCTTCCTTGTTCCTTCTCTTCCTCCTACTACTCTCCCTCCCTCTTCCTCCTCTCCAACCTATTCCTCTCCACTTTACTCTTTTTTTCAGTCTCTTTTATTCCCCTTTGACCTCTGACATTCTTTCTGTCCACTATGTGACTTAGGTGTCCTGACCCTTGGTCAGAGGGATTTAGCTCCACCGGTTCTACGGATGTCTTTTAACATGGCACGCACGTGTCTCTGTCTCTTTGACTAGGCATGACCCCAGGCCCAAATACATCCTCATTTATTTGACCACTCTTCAATTATGTCACTTCCAGTTTTTTCTCCTTTCCAAATATAGTTTCAGTGCGCATTTGTGGGTGGCTGTTTCACCAGCCCTTGCTTTTCTTAGTGGCAGAGCTTAAATTTTCCTTCCTCCACAAGCCCTTCTTGGCTGCCTCAAGTTGTAAAGTTGGCTGCTGTTCCCTACTACCCCCACCCTCAGCCCTGCATGCCCATACCTCTTTCCTCAATAGCTGCCAAGGCTGTTAAACATTTACCTGATGTTGCAAATGTACTGGTACAGATTTGCGGCCAAGACATGCAGTAAGAAAGGGAGAAAAATTAACCTAGTGGTGGTAACACAACCTGGGAGGGGAAGCTTGTGTGAGGGGGTGTCACTGAGTACCTGCAGGATGATGGGGTGTGTATTGACAGCCAGTGTGTAGAGGAGACGCAGCTTGTCACGATCGGTGAAGTGGTCCATGAAGATGCTGCCAGCATCGACTACTTCAGCATAGCGTCGAACCACACGATCTAAGAGTCTTTGCGAAGGGCAGCGCAGGAGGGGACTGGGCAGGCCCTGGAGACACACAAGAGAGACCCAAGATGCAGAGGTGTTGCTGAATTTTTTGTAAGTGACACAGAGACTGGAATGGGAGCCCAGATGAGTAGTAGAGGAGAAACCCATGGGTGGTTGAGGAGGGTGCTGAGCAAGAGGGTGGAAACCCCTGGGTGGCACACAGGGAATGGGACACTCCTGTAGGTTGGGGCAGAAGAAGGCATAGTGGGCTATGTAGGAATGGGGGCATTGGAGACATGGAGGCCAGCTCTGCTTCTTTGAAAGTTTGAAGCTTACTTTTTCTCCCTACACAGCAAGGATAGCTTCAAAAGAGAATTAACAGTCCATGTGCTTTGAGAGCAAGCTCTTTTCCCATGGCTGCCTCCTTACAGATATAGGATAAAACTGTCTTTGCTTAATATAGAGTGTCCAGTGTAAAGACCCTTCCTAATGGGGTAGCTGGTAAAGTTAACTCATTAAGATTTCCCCTGAGGATTGAGATTGGGAGATCAATCTGAGAAAGAGGGCATATGATAGAGCTGTCAGGAAAGCAACAGATACTATGAACCAAAGGGACTGGGGACTTAAAGAAAATTCAGAGAAAAACGATGATGATGATGACAACGACCATCATCACCACCACCACCACCCTCAGCACCACCACAAACCCTACAATTACTACATTCCAGAGCTCAGGCTTATAAGCTGCCATGCTAAATTCTGAGTCAGGGATGATGCTATGATTTGACTTTGTCCATCAAAATTTCATGTTTGGAACTTTAGTTCCCAAAGTCATATGTTAATGGTATTTGGAGGTGAGATCTTTAGATGGAAATTAGGATTGGATGAAGCTAGGAGGGTATCCTAATAATGCTATTAGTGGACTTTTAAGAAGCGGAAAAGAGGGGATCAGTGGCTTCCAGAGATCCTGAGTTCAATCCCCAGCAACCACATGGTAGCTCACAACCTTCTGTAATGGGATCCGATGCTCTTTTCCGGTGTGTCTGAAGACAGAAAAAGTGTACTCATATACATAAAATAAATAAATCTTAAACGAAAAAAAAAAGAAGAAGAAAAGAGACCTAAGCTAGCACATTTGCTCTGTCACATCCTGTGATGCCTCTGTCAGCTCATGATACAGCATGAAAGCCCACACCAGATGCTAGTATCAAATTCTTGGACTTCCCAGCCTCCAAAGCCTTTAGTGAAACAAATAGCTATTCTTCAAAAATTGGCCTGTGCTGATCATGGATTGCAATAGAAAACAGACTAAGATGACATCATCACAAATTCCTTATCTAGAAAGTGGGTTCACTGAGCCTTTGTTCCTTGTCCCAGGGAAGCCAAGTAACTTTACCAACCCAGGGAAATGTGGCTTTACTGAGGCACTCAAGGAAAGGCAGCCGGTTAGAATAGGGAGCCCTGAACCCATTTAATCTTAACCTTGACCTCAGGAGGAAAGTGGTGTCATTTCTCTTACATCACAGGAATAAACCTTAAAAAATTCTTTTAAAGTATTCAGCATCCCAGCTCTCCCCCTCCCCAAAATCATATTATGTTAAAGCTAATTTACATATTAATCACCTAAGATGTTCTGAATGACTTTTGATGTTTCCAAAAGCAAATATTGGTCAAAAGGTAAAGATTTATCACTGCTGAACACTTCTGAATATTTGCTCTGATGGAAATATAAATCTATGAAAGAAAAAACCATTAGTTGTTCTTAGAAAGAAAATCTTACTTTTAGAAAGAAAAAGAGCAGAAGTATGGCTTTTCACCCAAAGATTGGAAGTTGGGTTTTCTCAGTAAGGTCACCTCCAACAACTGTGTGTAGAATGTTGAATGAAATGCCCAACAAATGACATTTTACTCTGCATGAACTTGGCTGTTCTCAAGTTCTCTTAGCTCCAGGGGGAGAAAAGAAAACTTAAATTCTAATAAACCTATTTCCAGTTGTTCACTTGAACACCTCTGATATGATAGTGCTGTTAAGTATGCTTGTAAAACAGAGCTGAGGCTAGTTATGCATTACAGGTAATCAATGGGCTCTCATTAAGACAATGACAATTTAATAATTTCCTCAATTGGTATGGATAGTTAAAATTTCCTTTATTCAAAGCAGGAAACACTTGTTTTGTTTTATTAAGAAAACAACTGACAGTTTTATGCATACTCCAATTTTGTTCTTTTGGGGGTGGGGCTAAGATAAGGTTTCTCTATGTCACATTCGTGGCTGTCCTGGAACTTGCTCTGTAGACTAGGTTGGCCTCAAACTCACAGAGATTCACCTGCCTCTGCCTTTTGAGTGCTGGGATTAAAGGTGTATGCCACCACTACCTGGCTAATTTTGTTCTTTTAATAAAGTCATTTGGGGCTATTTCTTTCCTCTGAAGTTACCAACACAACAGGAAGTGTTTTGATGTGTCAATTTCCATCTACAACTATCTGCTAGTATAGTGATGGTTTTGACGTACCCACATGGATGATTTCAAAAATTGGATTAATTTTTTTAAAAAAATCAATATCATACTTATATACAATGCATTGTGATTATTCACCTACTCCACTGCCCTCTCTCATCTCTCTACTTCTGTTGACACGTTCTTTTCAGTAAGTCTTCCTGCTACCCTTGTGTCCTTCCTTTTTTTCTCCTGCCCATGTGGTCAGTCACAGCTGCTGTGTGTTTGTGATTACATGGCTGTGGCATATCCAGAAGACAGTGTTATACTGTACTTCTCCCCATTAGTTCTCACATCTCCCTCCACTCCCTCTCCCTCAGTGTTCCCTGCATTTTAAAGGGCAGGTGTCCATTTTTTATCCAAGTACTTAGCAGTCACTTATTCTCAGAACTTTTGCCAGTTGTAGGTCTTTGCTTTGGCCATCACCTACCCCAAAAGAGGCTTCTCTGACAAGAACTGAGAGCTACACTAGTCTTTGGGTATAAACATAAATATTTACAAGGCAGTTTAACTACATTTCCACTTAGCACAATATATCAGTTGTAGATTATACTGTAGGGCCATGACCACTCTAGTCATAGACTTTTGGCCAAGTCTACAGTGTCAGACATGTATTTTTTCCTACAAAATGAGCCTCAGCCTTGAGGCTGATTTTTCTTTTGTTCCTAGTCAGGAAGTGGTTGGTTAGTCCCAGAGCATCTATGCCAATATTGCACCACTGGGAATATCTTGATAGGCAGTACAGCATTTTAGCATACAGGGTCTACAGACAGGTATGATTGTTGATGATGATTATAACTCAATAGCCTACACTGCATGTTCCAGTGCTATGAATATTATCTAACAAGGAGGAATCTTCTATCTCAGTTCCAGCTTGGTTTCTCTGTATTCTGTATCCAGAATGTGTTGTTTTCAGTAATTGGGTCTTATGGTCTAGCTCTAGTGGGCAACCAAGTGCAACAGTGCATCCTATATTGATTTGGAATGCTCTAGGGACTAGCTAGTTGGCTAAAAACTCATAGGGAGGTATCTTACACCTGCTGCTGGTACTTTGGTTTTAAAAAAGTATGGCTTCTGGAGCTGGACATGGTGGTACAAGCCTAGACCTCGGGAGGCAGAGGGAGGTGGATTCCTGAGTTTGAGGCCAGTCTGTTCTACAGAGTAAATTCCCGGACAGCCAGGGCTACACAGAGAAACTGTCTTGAAAAATAGATAGATAGATAGATAGATAGATAGATAGATAGATAGCCAGACAGAGCAAAAGAAAGAAAGAAAGAAAGAAAGAAAGAAAGAAAGACAGAAAAGATATGATAAGAAAAGACAAGACAGACCATGGGCTTCCGGGATCCATGTTAAGCTGTATGGTAGTTGAGACAGCTGCTCGGTGGTAACTCACAGTGGGGATTTCTTTGCCTAGGAGTTGAAAGACTCATTGAGAATTTTGCATATGATTATGGAGCCAGGATTCTAACCCAGGTTTGTCTGAATGCCATGCCATATTTCTTCTTTGTATTGAATCTATCTTCAGTTTTCTTGTTAGGCCTTCTCTCTCTAGTACTGTCAGGAATCCAGATGTCAAATGCAGGAACTTGATCTCCTGTGCCCTCGTTTCTCCAGAACAAATCCTCCCAGGCATCATGTGGCCTATGGCTCCATCAGTTGGATGCAGCCTGACCTACTTCTTCCAGGAAGCCTCTCTAACCCTTCTCTGAGTCCTTTCCTGTCCCACCTGCATACCATATTTATGCCTCCTTATGGAAAGATCCCACAGTTCTCAAGCTATGCTTCTTTCGATCTACAAATTCTCAGAACCTGCTGAGTTCTTCTGCAACTAGAACTCAGCTGTGCATGCGGTAATCTATTCCCCTGAAATTATAAAAATTAACACAGCAACATTTACCCAGCACAGAACAAGCATTTAGTAATATTAGCTACCTGCTCCCAGCTCCAGCCTGGTCATCAATCACAATGTTTGCAATTGGCAATAGGTCAACTTCCCGGAACCACACCTTATTTTCCCTTTAAGTCGTCTGCAGAGGAGCCATGACTTTTTTCTCTACCTCATTCTTCCTCTTCAGGCCACACCTTCTCCAAGTGGCTTCCTGACCCTTGCAGCACTGATTTACTTTTCTCTAGCTGCCTGTGCTTCATAGGTCTTGGGTTATGTGCTCATAATCAGTCTCTCTTTCAGTTGTTTGGTGCCTTGTGGTCAGGACTGTTTGGTTTGAGATCCAGGGACAAGGGGCTGAGGTGCATATTTTACATACCAAAGTGGACCTGACTTCCATATTCTCCCAGGATCCTCTATACTGAACTTTCCAGCCCAGGGGCTGGGCTGCCCTTCTCCCAGAATCTCTTCCCTAATGCACACATTTTGGTCTCTCTGCTCCCCCTTTTTTCCTTCTTTTTGTGTGTGTGCTTTCTTTCTCTTACCGCTCTCTCTGTCTCCCTCCCCATGGTGACTTCCCTGGTCTCCTTCCTTGGGGCCAGTGGACTTGCCTGCCTGATAGCTTGAAGATACAGTTCACCAGCAAAGGCATGACAGCAGGATCATGAAGCAGA